AAGGGGGTGAGGGGGTTGGGGAAGGGTGTGTCTGGGGTTTGGGGTGACTGAGGGGTCTAAAGGTGGGGGGAACAGGAGACAGTCTTGAGGTGAGGGGCAGGGGGAGATAGGGGAGTTGGAGGGGACTGGGAGGAGCTGGGGAGGGGGTGTCTGGGATTTGGGGTGGCCTTGGGGAATATTGGAGTGGGAGTGAGGGGGAGGTGGGGTCTGAGGTGAGGGGATGCAGAGTATCTGGGATTTGAGGGGACTCTGAGGGACATGAGGGTGGAGGGAAGGGGAGACAGCCCTGACGTGAGGGGATGGGGGGGTTCTGTGGAATTTGGGGTGAATCTGCAAGGGTTGTAGGTTCAGTACTGAAGGGGAGGGAACCCTGAGATGAGGGGTCTGTTGGCAGGGCAGGGATTTGAGGCAGTCGGAGGGAACTGGGGAAAAGAGACATTGTAGGGAGGTGGAGGGGATTTGGAGTGACTCTCTGAGGGATTTGGGGGGTGGGAAGGGAAGGAGCCCTGAGAAAGGGAGGGTCTCTCTCATGGGCTGGCAGGGGCCATGGTAGGTCTGCAGGTGAGGGTGCTGAAATGACCTGGGGGGGGCTTGATCACAGGGCTGAAGCAGTGAGAGGGGAGCTGGTGTGTGGGGGACCAGGTTGTCTGGAGGGCCTGGGGAGAGTGGGGGGGGCACCTGGGGCTGGGAGATGGGACAAGACAGGGGCATTTCTCTCCCTGGTGCAGGTGTTCACCGCCAGGTCCTCTTCACTACTGTGGGCTGGTTTGTTGGCTATTACCTCGTGAAACGTACAGAGTACATCCATGCCAAACTGGACAGGGAGTTGTTTGAGTATGTCAGGCATCATCCAGAGGATTTCAAAAAAGCAGGTATAAGAAACTGGTATTTTAATAAAGACCTCAACCTGCCACAACATACTAGTTAGGAAGTGCTAATGTATATAAAGATGTAGCTGGGCTGCTTGCAGAATCTGCTCTTTTCTAGCAAGTTATGCTGACTGGTAATTCTTTCCAGCTTACTCACAGTCTCTTCTTCCAAGTAACTAGCAATAGAACGAGAAGAAATGGGTTTAAGTTGTGCCAGGGCAGGTTTAGTTTGGACATGAAGAAAAATGTATTTACTGAAAGAGTGGTGAGGCCTTGGAATGGGCTGCCCAGGGGGGTGGTGGAGTCACCATCCCTGGAGGTGTTCAAGAAGTGCTTAGATGTGGTGCTTCAGGTTCATGGTTGTGGTAGCTGGATTACAGCTGGACTTGATGATCTTGAAGGTCTTTTCCAACCTTAATGATTCTGTGATAAATGGCAGCAGTATCAAGGATTTTATTATATGAAAACAGATATTTTAATTGAGCTGATCAGTGGCCTTGATGGTCAATTCTTCCTCCTTAAAGCTTATTTTAATATTAAAATTGAGAGCCAAAAAAACATTAAGAGTAGACCAAACTTGTGCCAGTGAAGGAGAAACAAAGTAGGTGATGAAGATCAGGAATTGTGGGATTTATTATTGTAAAACCAAGATTTTACTGCTTATTCATATAAAATTGCACTTTTAAGTGCATGTTGATTTGAAAATGGTGTGGTCATCATGTAATCATAGAATTGTTTGGGTTGGAAGAGGCCTTAAAAGATCATCTAGTTCCAATCCCCCTGCATGGGCAGGGACACCTCCCAAGATTCAGAAAATAAGTAGAGCAGGTGAAAAAAAGAATAAAAATGTCAGGAAACTTGATGTACCTTTAGATCCTTGGTAAAGAATGACATTTTACTAAATGTCGTCACAAAACGTAAGCCACTGGACCCAGCAACACTATGGCAAGTTTTGGTGCAAATTGTCTGTTTTCTAATAAAATGGAGTTAGGTGAATTTGGCTGCTGGATTATAACCCACATGATGCCATTTTGGAAGGAATCTGTAGAAATAAAGGACTATTCAAAATCTCTTGCTAGAGCCTCTGTGGTGAGCCCTGTGGAAAAGAAGCGATATATTTAGTTGATGCAGAAAGTCAATAGTTCACTGTTGGTAGCAAAAAAATAAAAAAAGTCAAAACCAGAATTTGGTAGCTTTGTTAACCTTAAAAATGAGTATTAAAAATCTCAACCTATCTCAAATGCTGATGAGGTTTTCATTGCCTCTTGCAGAGAAGAGGAGGATAGGGGAGCTTCTGGAGGATTTCTACCCAGTTCGCTGAGGGTTTCTCCAGCAGCAACATCATGTCTCAGGATGCATCTGCTGAACTAATTCCGTAGCTGAGAATTTTTGGCAAGCTGGCTGTAACTGTTCAACCGTCCATGGCTTAGAAAATGAACCATTACTGGCTTTCATGTAATAAAAGTTATTATTAAATACCCAGTGTTTGATTATTTGTTCTTCTCTTCCGTTGTGGTGTGTAGGTGACTGATACTTGTGCTAGAGGAATAACTTTGATTCACCCTTTTTTCAGCTATTTTAGTTGTGAGAAGGGGAGGTTGTTCATATAACATGTATTTTAAGAAGCCCAGGAAGCAGTTGTGGAATTTCCTCCTCTTTATTTCTCACTGGTGTTTCTCCTGACCCTTGAGGGTGCTCTGGACCAGCCCCTGTAGATATTGTAGCCAAAATCTTGCTGTGAAATGAATTCTGTTCAACTAACAAAACTAGGTGTTTTCCCTAATCAACTCCCTTATCTATTTTGCATTCTTATGTTGCTTTTTCTTTCCTGAGGATCAGGATCCAAACTTTTTCCTTTCTCACTGGGTTGTTGGCTCCTAAATCCACATACTGAACCCAGATGTGTTCCAGACATGCTGAGGATCTGCAGCATTTTTTAATTTGTAGGGTGCTCAATACCCCTGGAGCTTGAAGCACTTCCAGTTGTATTGAAATATTCAAGGCTGGGAAGGCAAAAGAAGACACTGAAGCTACTACAGCTGTGAGTGTTCTGTTCCCAGGTTATGTTTCAGCAGAACTTCAGAGCTCCTTGGACCCACTGAGTGAGAGTAACAATGCATGGAAGTGTTCAGAGTCAAGTTGGACAGGGCTTTGAGCAAATTGCTATAGGGACCTTGCTAGAAAAAAATAATGGAAGTGAGGAAGATGAATATTCACTGAACTAAATAGTGATGAGGGAATTACAATCCTGAACAAGTGGGCCAGTGGCAGGTGGTTGTCCAGGACTGTATCTGGTTAGGCTTTGGTTATCCCCAAAGGTTGGAGATATCCCCAGGCCAGGCTGGACATGCCTGGGGCCGGGATTGGCTCCATCCCAGCTGGGGCTCAGCAGCAACATCTCCCTGGCTCTGTGCAATCTCTCCTGGCCCAGCCCCTCCATGGCCTTCACCCGAGCTGGCTGCGGGTCCTGCTGTTTCCCTGTGCCAGGAGCAGGGAGGCAAGGAAGGAAGGTGCCTGGGGCCTCTCCTGTCCACACCATCCCCACCACTGCCAGGGCTTGGGAGAGGGACCAGCTCTTCCCCCCTGCCTGGGCAGGCAGCACCATGGGAGAGCTGCCTTGATTGGGGCAGGTTATTTTGAAGGAGGAGGAAGGAGACCAAGTACTGGGCTTTTTTTGAAGTGGAGGTGTCCTCCATGAGCCCTGCCACCCTCCTTCTTCAGGGCTGGTCCAGGGCTCTCACACAGCCCACCTTGGCAAGCTGCTCTGGTAACAACCTGGGCTGAAAGAAGGTGATAATGAGTGGGTGATACTTGTCTGAAGGGTGTTTGCCCAAAACTGGTGAAGGAGGAAGATGAACATCAGCTGGATGAAATAGTGACCAGGGAATGATAAAAGGGACTTCAAGGTGGTAAGATGCCCCTGAGCCTTCTCTTCAACAGTCCCAGCTCAAACAGCCTCTCCTCATTTGGCAGGTGCTCCAGCTCCTTCCTCGCCCTTGTGGCTTCCACTGGCCTCTCCCAAGTCCATCCCTGTCTCTCTTGTACTGGGCAGCCCAGGCTGGACCCAGCCCCTGGATGTGTCCCAGCAGGGCTGAGCAGAGGGCAAGGAGCCCCTCCTTGCACCAACTGCCAGGAGGCTGGTGGCCATCTTCCCCCTGAGGACACCTTCCCCTCTGAGGACAGAGCCAGTGTCCCGGGAGCCTTTCCAGGGCAGCGTCACCCGGCCAGGCTGGAGAGGGCCTGACCTGCCCCCTCTGCCCCCATCCTGCCAGGGGCCCGCATGGGGTTTTCCCAGGACAAAGACCTTTCCTGTGGCCACCTCGTGTCACTTCTCAGCCACGTCCAGCAGCTGGACCCTGCTGGGCTGTGATGCAAGGCCCTGCAATCGCAGCCCCAGAAGGTTCCCGGGAACCCGCGGGGTCGGGGCGGTCTGGCCAGCCTGTGGCTTGCAGAGAGGGATCTGTGGGTCCTGGGGGATTCCAGTGGCCCAGAAGTTGTCAGCGTGTCCTTCCAGCTGCCTGAGGTCACAGACGATTTCTGAGCACGTCTTTACCACGTGTCCTGCTCTGATAGCTCCTCGGGGCACCACAAGCCTTTCCACTTGCTGAGCACGCTGCCCAAGCCAAAAGCCAGTGCGGGGGGTGACTGCAGGCTCTCCTTGCTCTGACCACCACCTTCTCCAAGAGTCACAGATCCCATCCTTCAGCTCCAGCCATCTAAACCACCATCATCACTTCCTCTGAGGTCCTTTTCTCAGCA